TTTCTTACCAAAACCTTGGTGTTTCCTACACATTTTCTTCTTCTTTTTCTCTCCTTCTCTCTCTAGATCACTTGCTCTCTCTCTCTCTAAAACCTTTTGGTGGATGGAAGAATAAAGTGGAAGTGATTAGAAAATGGTGAAGTGGGAGTCCCTATTTATAGAAAATGGTGACCATTAGATTTGTACCAAGTGGTAAAATTTAATGAAGAGAGAGAAAGTTAAGGTGAAATAATGAGATGTGACGATCGATGGATGTGACTGACAGATGAACGATGCAACATGATGGTGGCACAAAAATTGAAAGCACACCACCCAACCGACAACGCACAGCGCCCAAGGGGATGTTGAGCACTGCCCGAGGCAGCGCCCATTGCCCCAACCTGCCATGCACCGTAAGCCTAGCCTACCAAGTGCACAGGCCTAGCCTGCCGCGCGCGTAGGCCTAATGCACCTAGACCAACCGCGCTCAGGCCTCTTGCGCTCAGGTGTATAGCACAAACAGCGCGCGCACAGGCCCACAGAGCCATGCGAATTTTATTTTTAATTAAAGCTACTGTGGGATTTTCTGCCGTTTCTCCTTCATTTTTTCCTGAAATCTTTTTAATTAAAATTAAATATAATTTAATTATAATTAAATTAAATAAAATAAATTTCAATAATTATTTAACTAAATAATACATAATTAAAATATGAAATTCATATGAAAATTTAAAATACAAAATATCAAAAAGTTTAAACAGTCTTAGGTCCCGAATAAATAGGAGTTCACATTACAAATTAAATACAAAGGTTTTTCGGGGTGTTACATTCCCCACCTTAGAAAATTCAGTCCCCCAAATTTGTAATGAATAGATTGAAAAACTTCTCTCACATTTCACTCTCCAATTCCCACGTCGTCTCCTCTGGAGTATGATGTTGCCACAACATCTTCACTATTGGAATTCTCTTTGCATAAAATTTTGTCGATCCAACCAAGGATTTTCGCAAGGAGCTCCTCATTTATCATATCAACTTGAACCTGCATTTTTTGGTGAGAAATGATGTGAGAAGAGTCAGGATAATACCTTTTGAGCATGGAAATATGAAAAATATCATGCAAACCCAGGAACTTTGGGGGTAGAGCAAGGCGGTACGCCATGGGTTTGACACGTTCTACAATCTGAAAAGGTCTCACATAACAGGGGCTCAGTTTACCCTTCTTACCAAACTGCATTTTTTTCTTATAAGCGAAGACTTGATCACCAACAGCAAACTCTAGGGGTCTTTGACGGTTATCGACGTAGCTTTTCATGTGAATCTGAGCGGCAGCTAAGTTTCTTCGAATGATGACGGCTTTCTCAATAGTCTCTTAAATGTAGTCAAGTCCCAAATGATGTTGGTTTTCGACTTCGTTTTAATAAATGAGAGAACGACATGACCTACTGTACAGTGCTTCATACGACATTATGCCAATGTTGAAATGATAACTGGTATTATAAGCAAATTCACATAGAAAAAGATGCTCATACCAATTATCGCCAAAGTCGAGGACATAAGAGCGTAACATATCTTCAAGCGTCTAAATAGTATATTCAGACTACCCATTGGTCTGAGTATGATAGGCAGTGCTGAAGTATAATCCCGAACCAAGTACTTCTTGAAAGTTATCATAGAAATGGGAGGTGAACTGAGGATATCTATCAAACACGATGTATGAGAGGACGTTGTGGAGTTAAACAATCTCTTCGATGTACAGGCGAGCTAATCTACTTGTGAAATCTGTGATTTTGATTAGTAAAAAATGGGTGGTCTTGGTCAACTTGTCAACGATGACCCATATTGCATTGCGACCAGAGCAGGTCTTGGGCAGACTGGTAACAAAGTCCATGGTCACATGCTTCTAATTCCATTCTGGAATAAGGAGGTCTTGCAATGAACCACGGGGTCTTTGGTGTTCAGTATTAACTCACTGATAAGTAAGGCAT